ATCACATTCGTATATAGTTGTGTTGTACCTGTGCTTAGGTCACGTAACCCAATATTGAGTTTATAGTTCATTCCATCTATTAACTTAAATTCCTGAAAGGTCTCGTAAGCTGTGTCGTTGTTGTAATTTTCAATATCAAGACGAACTTCTGAATGACTTTGGTCAGCTAATTCTTGTATGTACTTCAGGCCTATGATAAGTTAACAAGTGGTACATGAATTACTTACTATAAATGCAATCTATCATGAAAATATCAACTTATCATGAAAAAAAAACTTAAAGTGAAACGAAATAAAATCATGTGACACACACAAGAATCTCGCTATGAAATTTTTACTGCCTATACATTATTAACGCAAACTGATACACGACGATCTTATTATATAAATAAGTTCACTTACTTTAATTAATGATACATAACAAAATGATATCTAAATGATAGCCTACTAGACAGTTATTTGTAAAATATCAAATGCAATATAATAAGAAATTATATACATGCTTATAATCTGTATTCAAATCCAAGTCGTACACACTTTTGCATTGTCGTGAAATCTTGTTATTATTCACTTGTTTTTATCTTATTTTATATCAATATTAACATATCACAATAAAGACGTTCAAACCAAAAAATTGTCAAATGTCAAAATTAACAGAATCGTCAAATTGAATGATAATAAAACTGAAACATTTTTTAAAAATCTTGATACTCAAGATATTTTTGTCCAGATTGCTTTGGCAACTTTAATCCTTTCTTCGTATTTATGGTAGGCGAAAAGCGTAACAATGCAAAAGGTTAGCCAATGATATTATGACGTACGAAAATGATGAAAGAATCATTGTATTACACTTATTTAAACTATAAATGTACAATATCATCGGTTAATACATAAGCATTCCGTATGCTTTTTAGTGGGCGGGATATGACATCCCGCATACTCAAAGCCACCTGTTATCTAGAAATTCTTGCCCGCGAACCTGACAATCTGTTGGAAGAAAATACATTTTATCCTTTTTTGTATTTCTTTCTGTCCGTTTTGGCACAGTTTGTCACCTTACGTACAACTGCCCGCGTACAGTTCATAAAATTACTTATACAATGGAATACCATAATTTATTATGTCGTTTAGTTTAGCAAATTATTACATTTATCTAAAATATAGATATTAAAGTGAACTGTAAATTAAACCTAGCCACAGTTCTCCTCCTGCGTTTCCAAACCCATTTTCGTACTCTGTGAAGTTTCGATAAAACTCAATAGACCCGTCAAAGCGCCTATGAAATATCTACAAAGAGTAAAAGGACAAAAGCACAGTAAAGTCAAAATAGATAAATGCACTTAATGTTAATTCAAACTGACGTGGTATAAAGTCACAAAACAACTTTCAGTTTTATCTTATACCTATGAGGCGGAAACGGGGTGTTTCATAGAACTATTGAACTTTTTTATATCAAGCTTGATGGACTGTTCCGATTTTAGAAGTAAACTAAACCTAGCAGGAAAAGACCGGAATATTTAGCTCAAAGGTTACCTACCTACTTATGATGACAGCCGGCATTTGATTATTCTTCCTGCATATTACAAGGAAATGTTATTCGAATAGAATTTACGAAAACTAATATTTTCATTTAGCACTGTTTGTCTTTAGTAACGTATGCATTTACAACTTTCAAGTCTGTGGAAAACAGAAAAGAAGAAAACAACTATGCTCCAACGATATTTGCTGAACAACCTTTACATAAGGTTAATACTTTACATACCGTCCAGCCGCCACCGTCAGTGTCCATGTCACAATTCACAATAAGTATCTTCCTAGACTTCCATAGTTCTATCTCATAAAAGCCACTTTCTGCTTCCGGGTATTCATCAAGAATTTCTTTACAGTCGCTCACTAAGCAATAATGATATAACAATAATTAAAACATAACCTAGCTTCTAATGAAATCACCGAGTTAACCAATCAATATTGACAAATCCTGGGCGTTCATATTCCCTATTACCGATATATAAATTTTTGTATTGTGGCGTTTTCGATTTTGATGTTGTATTGTTTTTCAATAACACGAGGATTGATCATAAAGTTCTCAGCCCGATGCACTTCCGGTAGTTAGAGATCCCAACTTATGGTATTTTTTATATAATCGCCTCTACATCAATGCACTTTGCCCACCTGTGCTCCAGCTTGTTTAGCCCTTCAAAATACCGTTAAAGTACTTATTTCTGTGGGCTAAATATTCTGCGATTTTTGTTAAAATAAGGTGTTTTAAATTTCTGCGTATCTCATTTCTGCTATGTCATCATTCCCGCATTGATGCGTTTTATTTCTGAGTTTTAACTGAGTTATTTGGACAAAATTAACCGATAAAACAGACAACATTTCAAGATTCGATGACAAGGGGCAGGACGTGAAGTGGTTGCACACTTGGTTCAAGCGAGCGAATTAGTTGCAAACTTGACAAAATGGCGAACACGGCGTAATTTTTTTAAACGGGTGAACGAATTTTTGCCAGGCAAGTGGGTTTCTTTATTATTTTGAAGTTCATTAGTATGTCTATTCCATAATGCAATATATATGCCACACTCGGTTAAAGGTTTCAGCATCCTAGATTCTGTTTTGACGAAGTTATTGAAGATATAAACTGATCATGTAGATATTTTTTAATTTGACATGTGACTGTTCTTGTCGGTTTTTCTCCTAATTTATTCGAATTTGTACGTTTTGAACTGCATTTAACAATAACAAAATATGTTTCTGTCAATGCTGTACAAATGGTTTAGTTCGCAAGTCCGAAGATAACGTTCAATACACAAAAACATCTTGTTCAAGCACATTTTGGTTGCAGACTTATACTTCAAGCACTTTTGGTTGCAAACTTTTGTGTCAATAATGTGGCATGCATATTTTTAGCGAGGAATAACTAATCATTCTTTTAAAAAATAATTAGCAATATTAAGGCAATTATACCCGTTCATCTAATAAGAATTATATATACAAATTGTGCATGCGTGCAGATATATCCTAACAAAGGGTCTTTCAAATAGATATAAAACACAATATGCTAAATTGAAGTTCATTTGTGTTTATCTTCATCATTTTTTCTCCTCGATATACTTTTTTTATATCTTGGCATGACTTACTGTAAAGGAAAAGAAGAAAAAATAGCAAGAAACAGCTTTCATTATTGTTCTTTTTTGAGATTTGAAATAAATTTCATTGTATAGTAGATAAAAACTATATTAACAAGGGCACAAGGGCATTATTCACATGTTTCTTTAAATTGTTCCTTATTATTGACCAATCAAACATCTCCCAAATTCCCTAACTCGAACAATGACTTCAAGTAGTTTTGTCACGTATCAGTCAATGTAAATAACCAATCGTATATCATTTATATTATGATCTAAATCAAAATCATCTTTAGAATACCAATTGACATATGATGTACTTTTGGTTTGTAAAAATATTTTAAGTACAATTACATACTTTATGTCTAAAGCAACTGCTGATCTTTACATACGAAACAAACAAATTAACATTTCTTGTGGTTTTGATAAACTTTGGAAATCTTACTGAGTAACATCGTATGTGTGCACATGTCCTTATGTTTATGATGGAAATCATTCACTTACATACAACAGTACTCTCACATACGTTTGTTTTGTATGTAGTTTTCATTTGCGTTTTACATATGATGACATATTTTAGAATTGAAGTATCAATAAATATTTTTCTTTATGCTATTATTTTGTTTGCAGGCTTTTACTGATGATAATAGTATTGAACTGAGAACCATGTAATTTGAAACATAAATTGCATAATTGTTGTAAAAGAAGAAAGTATAAATAACATTTCAGTCCTACGCATAAACCCTTCCAGCCTGCTGAATCTCAGTAAGGGCTTATCAGCTAGTAAATCACTATAAACTGTATATCTCCCATTAACACGTCCACTGAGTTGAGAGTCTTGTCATCATTAATTGGTCCTCTGTGTTCTTATATCTAATGGCAGATACACTCACTTTTTATCGATGTTTTTTTTTCTCTGAGTCTGCGGCCCAAGTGAATTGTGAAACTTAGCAATTATTTGAATTATTTGTAAATATACTTATTATCACAAGATAAATTTTAGCTGCTAAATGAATTATATGTTGTGATATACCTTTATAAGTGATAATCATCTTCTTAATTAATAAACTTTCATAGTTAAGTGTAACTGTTACTCATGTTACTCACCCCCACCCCCCCCCCCCCCCAAAAAAAACAAAAAAAAAAACAACAAAAAACATTGTAATTTTTACTGCAAAGTGCAAGACTCTTAACTAAGTGACCAGGTGAGTGATATTTGTATTATTAGCTCGACTTAATATAAAGTATATGTAGAGCTGTCATACTCACCTCGGTTTGTAAGTTGGCGCCAGCGTACATACTTTAAATTACTGCCTATGTGCTGTTAATTTTTTATCTCTAACTTTTTTATTTTTAATTAGCTCATCTGAGGACAATGTCCGTGCGTCAAAAATTTATTTAAACAAATTCTACTCCTTAGCCACTTAGCCATTGATTAGGTATTTGGTATGAAACATCTTTTACTGAGTGTCTATCAAGTTTGTTCAGATTAAAGCCCTGTGGTAAAAATTGGCCCCGTCCCGAAGGGTCATTAATTTTCATTATACATCTGTATGTACACATGTATTCCTTATCATAATACACATCATGTGATAAGGTGTTAAACTCAAAAACCAGTATTTACAGAACATTTTTTTAACATATAATTGTCCATAAAATAATGTTATTTTTTACTCTACGTCTTCATTTCATCATAAGGGATTGACATAAAACTTCAAATATGTGTTTCTTACCGACAACTACATCATATGTGACAATATTGTTCACTTTAGCACCAATATTTTTCCAGAATATTTCCCCATGAACTCATTTTTTTCCTAACAAAATGTTACTTTTTACTTACTTTTTTATTTCCTAAGGTATCTAGTTCTAACTTAAAATATATGTTCCTTATACATGTGTGACAATATTCATGAATAACTCTAGCATGGCTATTTCCAGAATTATTTCCCCTTTGAACTTAGATGTTTATTATGCCCCCGAAGGTTGGCATATTAAAATCGAACCGTCCGTCTGTCAGTCCGTCCCGCTTCATACATATAGACAGTGGTGGTCGTGTCCGTTCTGAAACTTAAGAATGCATGAAAGGATTTTAATTTTTCTTTCATTCTTTCATATATGAAATAACCATAGATGTATGGTGTGTCACGAACAAGATTCGGGTTCCTACAACTAAGGTCAAGGTCACTGTGGGGGTTCAAACTTTTTCAATTGTCAGTTTTCATGTTAATATACATATAGGCAGAGATGGTCGTGTATGCTCTGAAATTAATATGCATGAAAGTATTATATTTTTTATTTCACATATGAAATCATCATAACTGTATGATGTGTTGCCCTTAAGACATATAAATGGTTGTTGTTGTGTCCGCTCTGTTACTTCCATATACATGAAAGTTTCAATTATAATTTAAAATATAAAGTCACCATAGATGGACAATGTGTTGTGAACAAGACCCAGGTTTCTTTGTCAAACTTAAAGGTCACTGCTGGGGTTCGAACTTTGTCAATTTTTACCACCACACTAAACATGTTATAGGTGGTTTATAACTAGAATCCTTTAGGGGCATTTGACAGCTCTTCGTTATATATTATTTTTATATATTTATATTTTTTGCTCTTACTCTTTTATTTATGAAAGAATGTACTTCTAACTTTAAACAATAACATGACAAGCTACATAACTCTCGCATCAATATTTTCAGAATCATCATCCTTTTATACTCAGAATTTTAGAAATAAAAAACTTATACAATATTTTTGTTTCTAAAATTATTTTTTACACTATCCCAACGCTGTACCGAGTCCCTGTGATTGTGAGTTGTAAGTGATTAAAATCCTTTTTAATGTAATCCAGACTTTTTAGTCTTTAACCTATTTAAAATTGAATGTATCTATGAAAATCTTAGTTTTCCTTATATCTAAAATGTTCAGCTAATAATAAAACTATACATTCTTGAAACATTATAGGATCATAAAACATTCTAGGGTGCTGCTATCACTGATACTGTGACAAGCCGTGTAATTGTAATTAAATGCTCATCACTGGCCAGAGATAGGAAATTTTTGGGGAAAACTGGAAATTTTGGGTTTATGAGTAGGACTGATTTATGACAAAAACAAGTAAAAGCACATAAATGTCAATAATTGCCAATGAATATAACCTTCTACACTCCTTTTGCAAAGATTTACTATGGAATTCAATAGAATAAGAATAAGTTTGCAACCAAAAATGCTTGAAGTATAAGTCTGCAACCAAAATGTGCTTGAACAAGATATTTTTGTGTATTGAACGTTATCTTCGGACTTGCGAACTAAACCATTTGTACAGCATTGACAGAAACATATTTTGTTATTGTTAAATGCATTTCAAAACGTACACATTCGAATAAATTAGGAGAAAAATCGACCAGAACAGTCACATGTCAAATTTAAAAATATCTACTTGATCAGTTTATATCTTCAATAACTTCGTCAAAACAGAATCTAGGATGCTAAAACCTTTAACCGAGTGTGGCATATATATTGCATTATGGAATAGACATACTAATGAACTTCAAAATAACAAAGAAACCCACTTGCCTGGCAAAAATTCGTTCACCCGTTTAAAAAAATCACGCCGTGTTCGCCATTTTGTCAAGTTTGCAACCAATTCGCTCGCTTGAACCAAGTGTGCAACCACTTCACGTCCTGCCCCTTGGATGACATTACTTCCACGACTGATAATGTGTTCCGTTGAAATCAATATGTATCGGTATATATACG